CACCTTCATCTTCTTCTCCCTTTCCTCATCGTCCTCTTACCTCTGGTCCGCATTTCCACTTCCACCTCTTAGTCCATCTTCATCTCCTCCTCCTCTTTCTCATAGTCTTTCACTTCTTGTCATTTTTCCTCAGCTCTTCTTCTTCACTATCCTGTACCGCCCACTCCATCTTTTTTTACTCCCCTCTCTGCAATGTGGAACGTAAAATGGCAGCTGCCTTTCCAATCAGCTTTTGTCAGCAAGACAGCTGAAAGTTTTAAGAAGAATTATACAGACAGTCTCTCTGCAGACCCCCTGGCTGTCTCTCTGACAACTGATCAAAAGGAGAAATTGGGTCAGGCTTCTGTTCTTCTGTCCTTAATTACACAACAGTCTTTAAACAAAGCAACATCTGCCCCAGTGCCCATCCTGCTCCTCCTCCGTGTCCCCATCTCTTCCATTTCCATCTCCTCCACCTTCTTTTCTTCGTGATCCATCCTCTCATTCTCCATCTCAGGCACAGTCAAACTGGTAGCACTTTATTTCACAGGTCCATCATTTAATACTAATTTCCAAGACATTTTCTTGAAATAACTATTTGATAAGGATAAAATGGACAAATCTCAACTGCTTCATTTCACATACATTAATTCCAAATAACTGCTCAACTACAGTAAAAAAAACTTTTAGTCAGTGCTCAGCGGATCAGCTGCACCTGCACACTATGAAATGTCTCCACAGAGGAGTATACATAAAGTTCCAGTAATAATTAAACAATAAATTACATTTAGGTTGAAGCTCTTGCCCTCCTATAATTAGTAATAAATTGCATACTGTAGTTCTTCTTAAACATTCTTAAACTTCTTCTTGATATTTTCATGACATTTTCAACAGGTTTTGAAGGAAACAACTCATTTGCAGAACATTTTTCACAGAATGTTCATATAACGTTTAACATCTGCAAAAGTATAACATTTGGACCATAAAATTCTGAGGATGTTGTAAAGAATGTAAGTAATTTTCTTATATTTTTTAAAACAGCAATGAGACTGTCTCATTATCAACAGTGTTAGGCTATAATTAATATTTTATATCAATTATATATGACAATGTGACAGTGTTAGAGTGATACACCTACAAATCATTGTAATAATAATATATTTATATAACCAGAAGATACAGGAAATATGTACACAATATAAAAAATGCAACATTTTCAGAACAAAATAACTTCTACAGTCCAAAGTCAGTATTTAGTGTGACCTCCCTTTGCACTTAGCACAGCTTGAATTCTTTTGGGGAGACAGTGTTGAAACCATGACAGAGCCTCGACCATGTTTCACTGAAGGCTGCCACACTCATTTTTCCACCTCTTTCCAGTTCTTCTTCTCACATACTGTCCACAACTGGACCTAAAAGCTTAGATTCATCGCTCCATAAGACTCTTTTCAACTGATCTTCACTCCAGTCTTTGTGATCTTTTACATATCTCAGCCTTTTGTCCCTGTCTCCGTCTGAAAAAGAGGCTTCTTGGCTGCTGTCTTTCCACAGAGGCTGCTCCTGATCGAACTTCTTTGGACTGTGGAAGGCTTGACTTGGCATCCAGATGAAGCTGCCACATGCTGAGCCAGGTCCTTGTTGGGTTTCCTCTGGTCTCTCAAAGAAGAAACTCTGAGAAACTTTTCATCAGATTCTGACCATTTTCTTGCTCTTCCTGTTTTTGTCCTCGACCTCTCCAGATTCTTCATATTTCTTTAGAACCGCTTCAATACCACATCTTGAGTACCCAGTTTGTTGGAGGATTTTTGTTCTGACATTTTTGTGTGTTTTAATACTGTGTGCATATTTCCTATATTTTCTAGTTGTATTCTGATAAATCAGAATTAGGTGCAACAACACATGGTCATCAAAATATTACTAAAACAACAACTTTAATGGTGGCCGAAGACTTTTGCCCTGTACTTTACTTATATTGTTGTATGGAGGTGGAAGAGGGTCTTTCACTTTAAAATGACAATCAACTCCTGATAGTAATTTAATAGTGTCTCAATGCTTTTGTTGTTGTCCTTATCCTTGTTATTTTATGATGATGGATCAGCGAGAAACAGGGAGACAGAGCGAGAGGCAGACAGAGTTATTTAGCAGCCATTTGTCCTTGGAAGTGTAATGAATTGTAAAGTGAACAATGCTACAGGCCATAATGCTCTCAGTGCAGCTCCCACGCTCATCACTCCACCCAGAGACTGTCGATAATGTCCCAACACACACCAATGCATCATTTACACTGCAGCAGTCAGCACTCAACACTGAGTAACACATCTACAAACATCTGTCCAAACATCACACACAACTTTCCTCACATTAAAAAAGTGTTTATCATATTTAGTTTTTACTGTGTTGTTGATTGCCTCATATGATGTTATGACAATTTGTGTCATGTTTTCTGACACCATACAATACAATATCAAGACACGTTACACATGGTCACATCACATCAAAACATGATAGTACTTTATCTTGTGCCACCACGTCATGCCATAGCAGGTAGTGGCACAAGATAAAGTACTATCATGTTTAATATGATGTGACAGGTAGTGTCACATCATATTATATCATTCAATACCATAACATACAGTAAAGCTTAATAATGTAGAATGCTTGTCTTCTCATTTGACATCCTATTGTGTCAGTCATGTTAGGATCTCACTTTAACAACATCACCATTTCACATAGAATGTATTTACTATTCTCAGCCCCTGGCTCACCTCTCTGTCTTCATTAATACATGCTCCATAAACTGAAAGAAATCCTATCAGTGGTTTAAAAAATCTGTTAAGAGGTTTTAAAACATCAGTCACTGGTCTGTTACAAGGAATCTTTACTGGATGTGCACCTGTTACATTTAAACCAGCGCAGACTTTGTTAAATCATGTTGTATCACATCAATTTATGCTACAGTATACGCATCATAGGGGTTTCTGTTATTGATATGAGAAATGTAGATGCAACCTGGGCCAGTGATTTCTACTCTTCCACTTGAGTTTAATTCTCTATCTTTCTAACTTGTTCAGCTGCTAAGGGAAAGTCTGACAGTCAGGACTTTACAAAATTAACCAGTGTTAGCATTACATGACAATTTTCTGCTTTTGAAAATCAAACCTTAAAGCCAAATGACATACATAAACCTTGACTGACAAAGAAAAATCCTCAGTGTTGGGGGAGGTTTGTTGTCTATCAAGTGCATTCTGGCTTTATCATGTGTTATTTCCCTTAACCTACTCTATCTCAATGATCAGAGGCAGTAGGTGATGAGATGAGAGCTGAAATGAGATGAGATCAAATTTTAATGACCCCTGTGGGCAAATTGCTTCTTTGCTGCAGCAGCAGAGCAGAAAAAGCAGAATCCTCAGTTTGTTGCAAAAATATTCACTGATTAAATCAGTGAATTGTTGTGCATTTCACATACAGAACAGCCAAGTTGAATATATCCAAGATGTGATGGTACAACAATTACTCTCCACTCAGACACTGCTGGAAGATTTAAGCTGGGCTTTCTCTATAAAGACCAACTTCATTTCCCCGTGATCCCCTAAGTAGACTGGAAATTTTTTTCTCCAGCCATAACATACAGTATAGAACACTGGAAAATCCCTTTACTGATTCTAGGACAACTAAGAGAATAATGTGATGTTTGCACACACAAATTACACAGTGAAGAAGGCATAACTGAAATGTCAGTTCACATATGACAACCCCAGCTCCTCTTTTCCTTGTTTTTGGCTGCTCATGATGTTATTTATTTGTACTTTGATTTTTTTAATTGCATTTTCTCCTTTGTTCAATTCAATGTATTCATGTTAAATTTGATGAAAAGGGGGGCTAAAGGAAATTAAAATACAGGAGTGTAACTGATAAATGTGAATTTTAAAACCTGGATTTTGTAGCATAAATCTGAATACAAAATAGCCTATTACAGGAACAGATGAGAACACAAGTTCAGTTTTTTTTTCTTTCAAAGCCAAGATGAGATTTAAACACACACCACACTTTATGTCAGTATTTGGTCCCAAACAGCCCACTACAAATTTGTAGGGTGGTATCACAGAAATATAGGAATAAATATTGATCTTATGTACATTTCTATGCTATCAGATTAAAAAATTGGGATATAAAAGAGAAAATAAAGGCCTAAGAACAGAGCAAAATATGGACAGATTATCACTGTGGTTCTACAGAATATCATAGAAATACCATACAACAGTGATGCTTCTTTCAAATCCTACCCAGAGCAGCTTCACTGTCCTCCCGCTGCATCCATCAAAGATGCTGATTGGCCAGCTGGTCGTATTCCGCGCCCTCAAGATCCCTACCAATCATTCTGATTGGTCCCTTGCATCATCAGTCAGACCGATCCGAGCACGCGTCTCCCCTTCCTCCTCCCGCAGCAGGTTGGGTTGAGTAGTTGGTTAGGGGACCGCGGACAGCTCCCGTCGGAGGAACAGAGTAACACAGGAGGAGGAGAAGACTGGACATGGGGGAGCCACCGCACAGGCCCGTATGGTCGAGATAAATACACTGTATGTGCATATACCGGGGAAAATACACAAAGACACCAAGCTGGAGAGCCCTTAGGGGGACGGAGAAACAACCGAGGGAGTGAAGGAAAAGGAGAAATAGGGCTACTGACCCATCCCGGCGCATCAGGGAGAAGCAGCCAGAAAAAGGAGGAGAAGAAGGAGACATAATTCCGCTCGACCTGATGGACTGAGAGGACAGATGAATGAAGACTGCCTACACTAACGCCTATAGATGCCTGGCCAAGGACCTGGACGCTTACGCCATGAACACGGACATGACAATGGACGGCATTGGCAGCCTGCATGGCGGGGT